AGAAGGAGACTCCACAGTCTCCCTGGGCAGCCTGTTCCAGTGCTCTGTCACCCTCTTACTTCGGCGCAGTCACATTTTGTGTCCCCCGGGCTGCCCAAGGAAGGATGAATTACCTATCGACTGGTTTACTGCCTTCATGCACAGGTTTTCAATCAGCACTCTGCTGGGTGCCTGGCCGGTGGCTCTGGGCTGGAAAGGAGAGGTGGGTAAGACTTGAACATGAGGCAGACGTAAATCAAACTTGTGAGTCTTATCGACATGGTGAGGCAAATGCTTTTTGTGAGTGGGTGCCCAAGCAGACCCCAAGCCGAGAGGAAGGAGGGAGAGAAGAAAGGTTGCAGTCAGAAAACTACGTTGAGCATTCACAAAGAGCAAGCCCAAGGCCCCCTTGAAGGCAGAACGCTCTTGCCCAGCTGCCCAGGAACAGCATCTCCAGGGGGCAGTGAGAAAGAGCAAGCGAGCCACGAGGAGCAAGCAGCTTCTACCACCTTGCCACCTCCTCTGGGGGGAAGGGAGCTCGCTGCCCTCAGCGTTCCCAGGGAGCCCCGGTGGTGTTGCCCTCCACGGATCGTCCCCGTGTTTAGGGCCACCTGTACCCACGCAGCGTGGAGAAGGCCGTGCTCTCAGTACCACACAGCCCCGAAAACAAGGGCAAGCGCAAAGAAAAACAATCTTTGACGGCAGCCCTGGGACTCATGGGCTGGGAGGAAGATTCATACGAAAAAGCAGAAGAGGCAGAGGGGTAAGTGTCTCCGTTACCATTGTTTTGTCAAGCCAAGCCATTTTTTCCTGGAGCTCTGGAGATTTGATGTTGGGGTAAGGCATTCCCACCATAACCACACACCTGCAAGGGGCAAGGGAGGGCTGAGTTATTCTTCATTGTCTCATCCTAGAGCACTCTGCCACCAGACCGATGAATTAGAGGTCACTGCACCCCTGAAAGACGGCCAGCCCCGAAAACCAAAGGCGGCAATAAAGCACAGCAGTCTGAACTGCAAGCTGCAGAGGGATGCAGGGTGCCAGAACGAGGGGTTATCTAGCACAGCAAGCCTCGCTGCATCACTCACGTGAAGAGCAGTCTGGACGGTTTTTACACCACCCAGCAGACTCGGTCCCGCTGGTTTAAGCATCAGCCCAAGCCCTGCGCTCCGCAGGATTTTCTATGCGAGCACCGACGGGTCCCATCCTGCTTGGCGTCACCGCCCCGCAAGCCCCGTGCTCACCTCCCACGGAGCAGCCACCGTACCTTCCCAGGTCGTCGGAGAAGTTGATCCCTTCGCTCATTTTGCCTCCAACTACAGAAAGCAGCAGGGCCCCCGTCATCTGTCCTCCGGCCTGGCTGCAGCGCTGCAGGAGAGGGACCAGGGCAGGGCAGATTTCTGTGGGTCAGAAACACTCCCACACCAGGGCTGGAGCCCTCTTTCCTTGCCAGAGCTGCAATGCCCTCTTCAGCAGCGCTCCCATACGCAGCTGCAACGCCGCACTCTCACCAGCTCAGCTTACTTTTATGCACTTGGCGTATTCCACCAGCACCTGCTCCACCTGGTTGGCTTTCTTGGGCTCCTGAAAGATCTGTCAGAGGCACAGGGCATCAGTTGCAGCAACGGGAAGCAAACAGTTCAAGACAAGCAAATCCTTTTACTCCCATGCCCTTAAACAGCACATGGAACTAAGATTGGGAAGGGCAAATTGCCTGAAAAACCAACTTAACCAGCACCTTTCCCCTCCACCCTGGAAAAGCACCGCGAGCTCAGGACAAGCACTGTGAGCTCGCTGCAGCACTTTTCAGCTGGGTTCTGAAGGGAGCAGCAGCTGATCCTGCCCCTCTAATGCTCCCTTTCAGCTTTGGCAGACTTGTCTAAATCTTCAAGAAGATCAAAGTCATCCCAGAGCTGAAAGGCAGGAGAGCATGTGCCCCTCTCCCATCTATGACTACAGACGCAGCGGGGTGAGGAGATGCTCCGGCTGCAGGATCTTGGAGGACAGTGACAGGACCAATCAATTTGAATCACCAATTAATTCCAAGTAACAGCTCCCCTTGCCCAGTGAATAAATTAAGTTTTCTATGCAAAGCACACAAAGTATTATTTCTTCATGTTATTCTAGCATGCCTAATCAGTTACTGAAAGCCCCTGCAGTTAATTGAGCTGTGTTTTGATAGGTGCTGCACCTTGGCCTAAATCACAAGTTGTTTTCCTAGTAAACAAGAGGTGCAAGATCTGTCTTTCCTGTGACAGCAAAGAACCTAAAGGACGTGTTTTCTCTTGGTTAGAAAGGACTGTCAAATGTTACAACCCAGAATCAGTCTTTCAGGAGAAAAATAACTGGCAATTACAAGTATAAGCCAAGACAACTCAGTAAAGGGTAGCTATTTAGTCCTATGACTGAAATTAATTTTCCCCACGCGTAATCTCACCACAGCTACCTCAGGAAAGACTTTAACCTTCCTCTGCTTGCGTGTGGGCAGCTGAAAGTCACACTTGCTGCACTTCTACCAAATTGCTTTGCTAACGCAGATCCAATTTTCTGGAGACTGCAAAGGCCAAACACGAACAAATCAGAGGTGAAAGGGACAGCGAGAGGCGTGATTGTGGCACAGAGCCTTGGAGGCACCAGGCAGGCTGCTGGCGGCCCTGACACCACCACACCTGAAAGGCACCGTGAGCCACGGAAATGCATGGAGAAGCTGAAGCATAGTGCTTCCACCACAAGAACCTCCAGGCAGATCCACGTGCCAGAATGCCACACCAAGGCCTTGAAATGTCTGGGACGGTGCTTTCCTAATCCATGCAGGACGTTATTTAGCATTTTTGTAAACAGAAGTCACAGCCAGCGTGTATGTAGTTCTTTTTCTCCGGCCCAGGCACGTGATCCAAGACCCCTGCCCCACACCCTGAGACAGTCGGACTGCCCGACCGAGCTTCAAATACTTGTGAGAGTCATGGCAAAGCTTTCATATTTGCAGTGATCTCCCCACTCAGTGTTTCTCATCACTGCTTAACAGGAGTCACCACTGCTGGTCTTTGAATTCTCCACTCTGCACTTCTACCAGGAGAACACCACGTGTCCTGTGAATGCAGCCTGGTCCCACTCTGCCCAGCCCTTAGCTGTGTTCAAGGCACGCATAGCTGGGCCTGGGAAGAACCAGCTCCCTGGAAGGGCTCAAGCTGAACAGCCCCCCAGCCAGACGGCAGCAGGCTTGCAGGTTTTGAGGATTGTCTCACCCCAAGGCCGCTACACAGACTGTGCACTTAAAGAATCTATAGCTGCATTTAATCCAATTTAGATCCTAGCTCGGTGATCAGCCGCCCGGGAAGTATCATTTATTCATTACTGGAGGGCTTGTCTAGATAACCATCCGCTCTGCTCTGCAGAGTATGAGAACAACTCAGCGAGAGAGGGCTGTAACGCACAGATAATTGTTTGATTTTTCAAACCTTCATTCAAATTACCAACTGCCCCCGGCTGTACAACTACCTTCTTCTTCGTCGCCAGGCGGGTGAGCAGCCCCGTCTTCTCCCAGTGTGCATACACCTGCTTCGCGTACTCGTAGGAGGGGAAGAAGCACACCACACCCCCCGGGACCACGTTGCACAGGTTGCAAAGGATCCGACCCGTCTCATCCATCTGCAAGAGAGACAAGAGCGTATTGCAGCTGACGGGAGCTCCAGCTAATGCCGCTCCAATTCTGTGCACGGTCCCAGGATCGCACCTCCCCTACGACGTGCCTTAGGGGAGGAAAAATGTGGGAAACACACCAGGTTGAAGAGAAGTCTCTAGGGGAGCTGGGAATCACCAAAAAGCTCTTCGCTGCCTGGCCTCTCCTCCTAACCCAGGGTTTCTGTTCCTGCTGTGGAGCGGTGGTCCTTCAGGAAAGGAGGGTTTACATTGTCCCAGCTGTTGGGACCTGTCACTCTCAAACAGATGTGGAGATCTACCTAGCACATCTGGTGGAGATTCAGCAGGGGCAGAGCAGATCTAGTGTCTGGCCTTGGGTGCTTACTGGCCCACCAACGGAAGAAGGAAAAAGCGCAGCAACGTCTGCAGCCGCCCCGTGGTTTGGGCTGCCCCGCTGCGCTGCGCTTCCACCGAGCCCTTCAAACTGCGCAGCGCAGTCAGAGATCTCCAGGTGTCCCGCACACAAACGCAGGATCTCGGGACAGCCAAACAGGAGCTGCCAATATTCCTCGCCTCCAGCAGCCACCTCCGAGCCAGCAGCTCAGAACCCCTTTTGCTGCTCCTCTTTCCCAATGCCTTGGCAACACACGTGCTCCAAATCCCACGATCTCCCTTGCCATGGCTTTTGACCCGTACGTCTCTCAAACAGAGAGCACAGCGTCCTGCGAAGCCAAAAAAGAGACACCAAGGAAGGGAACAAAGGAAAGACTGACCATCTGGGGCAGGTCTCTGCTCTGGTAGGTGAACTCCAGCTGCTGGTTGGAAGGACCACTGCAGAGGATTATGGGCAAAATGTTTTCCGGAGGGATCACATGTCCTGGAGATAAAAACAAGTCGTGAGAGCGACCACCACTGCCCTATGTGCAGACCCCACCAGCTGAGCAGCTTCACCTGCGTGCAGCGAGGGACACCTTTGCCTCAGTCACCCAGCTGCTCCAACTGCTGCTCCCTGAGCCCCTGGGAAGCAGGCAAGGCACACGGCCTGCCGAAACCGGGGAAGCTCGGAGTGGAAGGGACCCAGCACTCCTCTTGCTGCCACGAAAGATGCCACGTTGCTTAGAGCGCTGACTAAACAGCACCGAAGGCAAACCGCAACGCTCAGCTCCCGCAGAGACAGGTGACAACCCCAGCACGCTCACCGCAGGAGAACTCCACAACACGCGCAGGGTCCACGCCAGCGCAGGACAGCAGCTGCTCTCGGAAATCAGCCACCTACGGACCACAAGCCAAGGAGAGGTGAGGCACCGGCGTCCCAAAAGACACCGCACCGGCAGCACCGGTGCTGCTCCTCGAGCGCCAGCGCTGCCCAGCTTACCGCGGCGGGTTGCTGGCATGGGGGCAATGGGCTCCCCCTGCCATCTGCAAAGTCAAGGGCCCAGGACAGAGCACTGGCACAGGCTGCCCCGGGAGGTTGTGGAGACTACTTTCTTG